ATCTACGTGGGTCATACTGGGTGTCTGAGGAAGGGCACATATATCACTCTTGGTCAGCGAATTGTACTGGATATCAGTCTGTTTCTAGGTCCAATTCAAGGTGCAAGACATCACCTATAAAGCCCTACAAGGCATAGGACCAAGTTACCTATAGCACATGCTTCGCACCATCTCATCAGCCTGTCTCACTCAATCAGGCAGAGAAGGTATGTTGCAGATCTTGTCAGTCAAAGAATTTTGACTGGCATGGTCTAAGAAGAGGGCCTTCTCTATCTTGTGGAACATCCAGACCCCAGAGGCAAGGAAAACTCTCAATCTCTTGGCCTTCTGCAAAGAGATCAAAACTTGGCTCTGCAATCTTGCATGGGGGGCACAGAAGACCAACTAACAACAGGGCTGATTAATCTATTGAGAGCCCCTCCGCACCTGTAATAATCTGACATTAAATGGCCATTTTAGGATTTTTTCCCTTTTGATGTTTTAATTATCATTATTTTATAATTTTTTTTAACCCTAGTTTAATTTTAATGTTAATTTTTATACATTCTTTTATTTATCAGTTATATTATATTGTACGCCACCCTGAAACTCTCTTTGGGGAAGATAGGTGATTTAAAAATATGAAATATAAATATATATAAATAAGTGAAGAACTATCTATAGTGATTCATTTAGTAATGCTAGCATCTTGAGTCTAAAAGAAAATGTTACATGCTATTCTTCTATGATCCATGTTTATCTATGAGCCGTGATGGCACAGTGGTTAGAATACAGTACTGCAGGCTGACTCTGCCTATAGCTAGGAGTTCAATTCTCACCTGCTCAAGGTTGACTCAGCCTTCCATCCTTCTGAGGTTGATATTATGAGGATCCAGGTTGTTGGGGGCAATATATTGATTCTATAAATCGCTTAGAGAGAGCTGTAAAAGCACTATGAAGTGGTATATAAGTTTAAGTACATATATATATATATATATATATATATATATATATATATATATATATATATATATATATATATATGTTTATTACTGATCATTTGCCTTGCATGAAAGGTGAGACTTCCAGATTTTTGTTAACAGGGGACAGTAAAGAATATCTTGAGCTTTTTTTTTTTTTTTACTTTCCCTATACAAGAGACAATGGTAAGACAATGTATCAAGTCAAGCTAAAAGTTTTTCAGAGGTAAGCAACTATCTTTACCTAGAAGAAAAACTTTAATCACAGATACCAAGTTCAGGTCTCTTTTCCAGTTAGTCACCTTCCCACTTAAAACCACTTAGTTTCTGCCATTGCTAGAGAACGTAAAACTGCAAATAAAGCATGAAAATGCTGCTCTAAATGTCTTTTACTCTAGGAAACAAAATTATTTTTGTAGTATTTGAGGCTTGTTTAGGTTGCATAACAATCTTGGCCTCAAAAAATTTTACATTTACTTATTCTGGACCCTGCCAATCATATGGAGAAGAGTAGGTAGCCATCTTTTCTAAACACAGTCAACGTTTCCTGAGACAACTTTTCTTTATAACCAAAGTATGTCCTACTACTATTTTATTTACACTGTATTTAGAAATCCATTCCATAGCTATGCTGGCTCAGGAATTCTGGGAGCTGAAGTCCATGAGTCATAAAAGAGCCAAGGTTGCCTACCCCTGGTCTAGACCGGACACGTCAAACACAAGGCCCAGGGGCCGGATGCGGCCTGCAAAGTGGTTTCATATGGCCTGTGAAGCCATCCTGGAAACAGTGAGGGAATGGCCCCTGCTGCCTTGGCCCTGGCCGGCCGAGAGCCAATGTACAATTTTGTGGTGGCCATCTATGTTGAAATGCATTCAGTCTTAGCTCCGCAAGGCCGCCATTTCTAAACAGTGAGGAACCAGCCCGCCGCGTCGGCTCCGCCCCCTGGGTGCATGCTGGGGAGGTGTCACCCTTTGTGAGGAATGAAGAAATGGACCATGCCTTGGTGCTTGCCCCGCCCCCCCCTTCTGCCAGAAACCCTCAGATCTGTCCCATTCCTGCCTAGGCCCCCACAGGCACCCTTGATGAGAACGATGTAGAACTGGACATGCCCACCCAATAGGCCACACCCATTCCATCCACGCCCACTAGTAGACTGCACCCACCTTGGCCACACCCACCCGGCCCCCTGAGGGCAACTGCAATGCTGATGTGGCCCTCAATGAAATTGAGTTTGACACCCCTGGTCTAGACCAAGGTTTAGATGCACTTTTTTTCTCTGCAAACTACATGGACAAGTTAACATGAGTTTCCCTCATTAAAGAAATGGTATGCTATTTATAATGTTTTAATAGAATTGGATTCTGAAACGGAGTTAGTTAAAGACTGTATGATAAAATGGGCTCAAAATATTCAAGAGCCGATTCTATTGGACACATGGGAGACAATTTGGGTTAGAAATGTAAAATTTATTCAAGCTCAAAATTTAAGAGAAAATTTTTATAAAAAGTTTTATAGGTGGCATTTGGATCCTCAAAAGCTGTCCTGTATGTATCCTAATTTACAGCCCAAATGTTGGAGATGTGGTAGCTTAGATGCAACTTATTTTCATATTTGGTGGACTTGTAGAAATATAAAAGCTTTTTGGATTAAGATTTGGTGGAACATTCAAAAGATTTTTAAGAGAAAGATAAAGTTTACGCCACAATTATTTTTGTTAGGTGTTATTGTAGATTTTGATGTTAAAGAAATTAATTTGATGTTGAATCTTATAACAGCTGCAAGATTATTGGTGGGGCAATATTGGAAGAAAGATTCTTTGCCTACTATGGAAGAATGAATACTCAAGGTGTCTAATTTAGCAGAAATGACAAAAATTTCCGCTTATTTGAAGGACTATTCACAAGAAAGATATATCTTGGTTTGGAGAAGATGGATAGATTATATTCAGAATAAATATGAGACTAAAAAGTATTATCTAGCTTATGAGTAAATTTTAGATTATTATTAATAGTTTAATATGGTAGAATTTGTTTTAGTTTTATGGTTTAATTATATTATTATTTTTGTATTTAATTTTGAAAAGGAGTTAAAGTATGTTATGGATTTGATTGTTTGTATAGTTGGGTAATATTAGTTAGATTATGACTGTTTATTTGTAACCCTGTAATCAGCTTTGGGAAGTGGGGGGGAGGGGTGGGAGGGATTTGAGGTATATATTGTATAAAATCTTTAAAACTTTTAATAATAATAAAAAAGAAATGGTACGCTGTTATTGTTTTTCCCCAAGATTTTTTTTTTTACTTCACTATTTAACCAACCACTCTGTGGTATCTCTTGGTTATCTCCCATTCAGGTTCCAATCAGATTCATCCCTTTTAGGTCTTTTTGGCTATTGTTTTGCTACATGCTATCACCTGCTTGGCTCAAATTGAAAGGAAACATATAACTTAAATGGGAAATAATTACTGAAGTTCAAACAATGTTTAAAAGTTTTATTTACAAAAATAACAGATTAATCTATACCACTTCAATCAACATAGGTATGGAAAAGTTCCATTTTTAAAAAACATTTCCCAGTAATAAATGCTTATGCCAAGCTATAAGCCCTACTGCCTTTAGGACTTCTGCATGCTTCTAGCTTGCCAACAGATGCAGGGAGGGAGACGGGAGGGGGCAACTTTGGATTCACAGGTGTTCTTATCACCGTGAGAAAGCTGGAGCTATGGAAGAATTGTTTTGGTGAACCAAAGTTTCTTCTCATAACAATTACTGGGAGATGTATTGGACAATGTGACTTGAACTGTCAGAGAGGAGAGGAGGAAATTCATTCTTTTAATTACTTGCTTCCCGCTTTTTCTTCAGAGCTAGCTTTCACTTTGATCCTACTGAAATGATTCTGCTCAATAAAGATTACATTAAAGGACTTAATGCCTCTGGTATTTTTCTTAGTTGGGCTTTTCAGCCAGAAGTTGACAATATGTGTGAAAACATTCAAAAATGATATGAAGCTTGAAGTTGTACAGAAGGATATAAAATCATCTTCCTCAAATATAAAAGTACTTTAAAAGTAGTTCAGCAACACTGGGGTGAAATTCGATACTGCAAAACAATTTGGGGCAATACTTAGAATCCCAAACCATTTTCATTTTATTTGCATTTAATTCCATTTTAAACATCTGGGTGTTTCCAAAAGAAGATATTGGGTAGAGGATGAGGAAAAAGTTTATTTAAGTCAAATATATTTACCTATCAAAAAGCTTCTTCATCATTATTTAATTTAAAAATGCATTTTGACACTGATACAATCTTTTAATAGAGGGCTCACATTTAAAAAGTAGACACAAATTAAGTACAAAATCTATCATTATTCTTCTGGATCTTGCCAACTCAGCCACCGAGTAGATCAGTGGTTCTCAACCTGTGGGTCGGGACCCCATTTGGGGTCGAACGGCCATTTCATGGGGGTCGCCAAACAATGCAGTTTGCCATTTTTCCCCCCTTTTCCTTAGCTGTGCTACTCCCGATAGAATTAGACTCTTGAATAGAGTCTAATTCTATTGGCTTTCAAAAGCCAATAGGAACTGTCCAGACTGTCTCTACCCTGCTGAGCTGAGCCCGCCAAAAGTCCCAGTCTGCAAACGGTGCTGCACCAGTTGAGTAGTCCTCGACTTACGACCAGTTGAGTAGTCCTCGACTTACGACCGGTTGGGGTCGCGGCATTAAAAAGGTTGAGAACCACTGGAGTAGATAGTGCTCTAATTGTCAGGAAGTTAGTCTTCCAAATTTAAGAAACTTTATCATTCCAGGGATGACCAAACCCTGAAATAAGCCTATTTTGTCCAAAACATTTTGTCCAAATCTCACTGAAATATCTTATATGCCATGAAATTGCAATAATTAAACACCACAACTAAACACAGATTTGATCCAAAAATCAACCCACAGTCTTACAACCAAGTAAATAGAATAGATTAGAGAAGGATCAAAATCAGTTTTCTGACATTATCAAAGAAAACTCAGATGGTTCAAGGAAAGCCTACCTTTTCCTGTCAATTGCAAATCAGCTATCAGCCTCACTGGAGAAGAAAAAGGAACTCATTTAATATATGTCATACATCCATAGTTTCACAATTGCGAGAGCTGAAATCTACACATCTCAAAGTTGCTGAGGCTGAGAAACACTGGTGTTGGCCTTAATCTGGTACAAAAAATAAGTTACTTTCAACCTTTCACTTACAATCTAGTTTGAATCCTTCATCCTCCAATAGCTTTTTGAAATGTTAGAAATTATTAGATTTTCCATTTCTTTTTCTAATCTGTGTACCATATAGTAATGTTATGTTTTTAGCTATTACTTAAGATAACTATGTGATATTTTGAGAAAATAAAAAATACAGATTTTTTTAAAAAAATGAGAAACAACTATTTTACTAAATAAAATAAAATACAGTCTTATGTATATTCAAATTATACTAACTGGATAAGTAGATATGTTGTGTTTAGTTCCTTACAAAGGTAAAACTTCAATCACTAATAAAATTGCAATGGTGCAAATATACAGGTAATCTTCAGTTAACAATGATCATTGGAATCAGGAATTCCTCACTAAGCAAAAGATCATAAAGCACAATGTCACAGTAGCAAGCTGATTTACAATGACAGTTCCAACAGTGGTCATTAAATGAAATCCATGTGGTCATTAAGTACAGCATCATGATTGCCATTTGTGACATCCTATTGGCTTCCCCACTGATTTTGCTTGTCATAAGTCAGCAGTAAAGGCTGCAAACTGCAATCATGTGACCATGGGATGATGCAAAGCCATAATTTTGAGAACTAGTGTAAGTCTCCTCATTCAGTGCTGTTGTAACTTAAAGCGGTTACTGGCAAATGGTCATTAACCAAGGATTACTTGTATAAGAATTTGTATCAAAACTGGACTAGCTAAAGGGAAATGTGCAAAATGCAGATTTGTGGCTGTAAAATAGGAATTTAGTTTTCAGTCTTATTCTGCCAAATCTAAATCCTTTCTCCCTACCTGTTGAAAGTTATAACTCAAAAACTCATCATAATGAATCAAGTACCTTTTCAGCTAATGAAAAGCTCTCCCTCCTTCCAGCCTTAAGCAGTAACGAGAGAGAATGAATAGGGAATGATTATAAAGACACATGACATGCAACCATGCAAACTCTATTATGTACAGCATGTATAATGTGTAGATATGTATATACAGTGTCTATGTAGGATCCTTGATACAGATAGTCTTCAACTTAGGACTCACCATTAGTGACCATATAAAGTTACAATGGACTTCCCTGGGGTAGTTAAAACCGAGTTCTGACATTCACATACACCCTCCTCCAAAGACACAACTGCATGTTGGATGATAGCATTTGGCTCGCTTTTATAGCCATTTGCAGAATCCTGTAGTCAGGTGGCTGCGTTTTACAATGGTTTTGCCAAAAATCAGTATTCGCTTTTGGGTTTTGGCAAAACCATCCCATAACAAACCATTGGATTAATGATCACTACAAAAAGCTCGTAAAATTGTGTTGGTCATGTGGATGTCCCATTTTATAACTAACACAACTTACAACCATGATGGGCAGGCTGCATTACGATTTAAGTCAAAGAGGAAAAACAGATTAGGCAACACTTGAGTCAAAAACAGTAATTGTGACAGGGATCCTGGAATCCTAGTGGATGATCACTTAAATATGAACCAGTAGTGTTCAGCAGCAATTAAAAAAGCTAATGAAATTCTTGGTTGCATAAATGGAGGGATAGAATCAAAATCACGTGAAGTATTAGTCCCACTTCATAAAACCTTAGAAAGACCACACCTGCATCTAGTTTTGGTCACCACATTACAACAAAGTTGTTGAGACTTGGAAAAAGTGCAGAGAAGAGCAACTAAGATGATAAAGGTCTAGAGACTAAAACACATGAAGAACAGTTGCAGGAACTGAGTATGGTTAGTCTAGAGGAAAAAAAGGACTGGGGTGACATGAGAGCAGTCTTCCAATATCTCAGGGACTCCCATAAAGAAAAAAAGGTCAATTTATTTTCCAAAGCACCAGAAGGCCAGACAAGAAACAATGGTTGGAAACTAATCAAGGAGAGAAGCAACCTGGAATTAAGGAGAAACTTCCTAACAGTGAGAATAATTGACCAATGGAACGGCTTGCCTTCAGAAGCTGTGGGTTCTTCATCACTGGAGGTTTTAAAGAAGAGACTGGACAGCCACTTCTCTGAAATGATCTCCTGCTTGAGCAGGAGGTTGGACTAGAAAACCTCCAAGGTCCCTTCCAGCTCTATTTTGATTGACTACCTGTACTGCAGAAGAATTTGAACTTTTCTCCTATTTGTCTGTTATACAAAGATTGTACACAAAGTTTTCCAACCTCAGCAACTTGTCCATGTTAATATGTGGACTTCTGTGGAATTGCCCAGAATTCCCTAGCCAGCATGAAGCTCTGTGTCTCTGAGGAAGGGAGCAGCTCATAAAAATCTATGGCTTTTAATAACATTTGTTATTTGGAAAAGGTGCTACGAGATATATCTGATCTTTTGCTACCATAATCTAACATGATTTTCCCCTTACAAGATCACATTATAAAAATATAGGAAATGAATCAATTTATAATATCCTGAGTAGATTTCTAGAATAATTAGTGATAAAAAACAAAACAGATCAGATTTCACTTAAGGATTTATAGCCCAATTTTTACAAGATGGTGAAACTACATTCAACTTACCTTCAATAATTTATTCCATTTTACCTGCATCATTTTGAACAAAAGAATTAATATGCAGTAGTAAATCTGTGTGGTCTCTGCTTACCAGTTTAGAAAAGGAAACCTCAAAGAATAAATGCTGTTTTATATACTACTAACTGCTCCTTATTTTTAAAACTGTCCTGAAGAAAAATGGATGTAAGCCAACAGTGCAGCAAAGTGAGTTACTCAAGACAGATTAAAACTCTGCAGCCTGCAGGAACCACTGAAAAAAAATGAGAGGTACAGGCTGGTGCTTAAGTTTTTAGAAAAGTTATGATCTTGGATCATGTATCAACTAACTATAGTAAATGCTTTATTTAGAATAGAATAGAGGTGGAAGAGACCTTGGAGGTCTTCTAGTCCAGCCCCCTCCTCAATCAGGAGAACCTATATCATTTCAGATTTATATATACCATTTAAAACCTGCAAATATACTGAAATCAGAAACAGGAAAAATGAAATATATACCAACAATAAGATCTGTTCCTCAATTCACCTGAGGAGACATTTGTGAGGAATTAAACTTATGCCTATGTAATAATAACAGAAAGCTCAAGGAATGCCACAGAATTACTCATTTTTTATCATTATTTTAGCTATGAAGCAGAACAAAAATTTCTTTTCTTAACCATACCATTACGTTACCTCATTAAATCATTTTTATTGTTGCCTAACAATGGCATCCGGCCCTCTCAATTCCTGGCAAATAGATGGGGAAGAAATGGAGGTAGTGACAGATTTTATTTTTCTGGGCTCCAAGATCACCTCAGATGGGGACTGCAGCCAAGAAATTAAAAGACGCTTGCTCCTGGGGAGAAAGCTATGGCAAATCTAAACAGCATTCTAAAAAGCAGAGACATCACCCTGCCAACAAAAGTGCGTATAGTCCAGGCCATGGTTTTCCCAGTTGCAATGTATGGCTGTGAAAGTTGGACCATAAGAAAGGCTGAGCGCCAAAGAATTGAGGCCTTTGAACTATGGTGCTGGAGAAGACTCCTGCGAGTCCCTTGGGCTGCAAGGCGTTCAAACCGGTCAGTCCTAGAAGAGATCAACCCCGACTGCTCTTTAGAAGGCTAGATCCTGAAGTTGAAACTCAAATACTTTGGCCACCTAATGAGAAGGAAGGATTCGCTGGAGAAGAACCTAATGCTGGGAAAGATGGAGGGCAATAGAAGAAGGGGACGACAGAGAATGAGATGGCTGATGGAGTCACTGAAGCAGTAGGTGTGAATTTAAATGGACTCTAGAAGATGGTAGAGGACAGGAAGACCTGGAGGAACGTTGTCCATGGGGTCGCGATGGGTCAGACACGACTTCGCAATTAACAACAACAAACAATTTAAAACTGGTTCTTATACTTTGTAAATCACTGGGGCAGTAATTTTTACCCCTTTGTATGAGACGGCATTGTGAAATATTAAAATATAGAAATTTTAATACATTAAAACGAATGAGATAAATTTCAGATTTCTCTAAATTAGATATCATTATGTGCAAAATATAATGCAATTAGAAAATAGGGCATATTTTTAAATGCATTGTTCAGTTAAATCCAGGAAGCTTATAGGCTCTGCTTTCCAATTGACCAAAAAATGGCCTGATTACTGCATTTTTTTGTGGGAGATATGGAATGAAAGGACTCTCTGCCTGCGCACAACAGTTCTGTTATTTCCAAGCAGCAGGCTTTTATCCCTGTAACAAACATAATTTTCATGATTTCTACTCTTAACCTTTTAATTACTCTCCCCTGTATGATCTCTCAAATGTCATTATGGCAGTTTTAGGATCATAGAAATTAATGGCAAATTATTTCTGAAGAGCGAATGTACCTTTTGCTCAATGGGGGAAATCCTAGGAGGAAAGCACAAATGGGATTCTGCTTAAGGTGTCTGTAGGAACTAATTTCATACTCTCCACTATATAAATCAAATGATATATATTGACCTTCCTGATGTTAGAGATGCAAAAACATTGCTCATTAGTATCCCTTATGCAATCCCCAGATTGATAGGGTAAAACATTTGTGCTTTTTTTTTTTTTTTTGCATTTGGGGTGGTTTGGGTGTAGTGAAAGAACAAAATGTGTCCTTCAACCATTTGAAATACCTCTTCCAATATGTCTTGGCCCCACACAATTTTGGAATGTGACTCTCAGTGTTTGAACACAAACCTAGTGTACCATTCAAGCCATCTGAAGTTGCACAGCCCCAACGGAGATAGTTGTAAATACCAACTGACTTTTGCATGTCAGTCTACTTTATCAGGAAGAACAGTTATGGAAAGAGGGACCTGTTATTAGTAAGACTGTCTTTTCAATGTGGTGTCTGCCCATTGTGTATGTGCAAGCTAAGAAGATGTGAGAAACTAAGAAGATGGGGATCCAAAGGCAGACTCTATCAGGGCTGCCTCAGCCAGAGGAAATTGACTGTTTCTTGTGACCAGCTTGCCCAATTCTTTAATTTTCCAAAAGGCTGTAAAAATCATGCTACTCTTTGGGCAGTTTAGTTAAATGGGGCAACCAATACTATAATCTGGTTTTTAATGTTGTCTTTTGCTACTGAAGCTGAATTGTTTTAACTGAGTATTAGTTTTGTACTTTGCATCATTGTGAGCTACCCAAAATCTGGGACTGAGCTGAAGAAGCACACAAATGCTAGCAAATAAATAGACAAATAAATTTCCTTAAACCTGAATCCAGCACTTAAAAAAAAAAAAAAACCCAGCAAATTTTCCCTAATTAAAAAACAACCACCTGAAATGGCTCTATGAAAAAGATTATAGTGAGAAGACACTTTGGAATTATTCAGTAGAAAATACTGTAGTCAATTTCTAAAATGAAATTTAGAAATGGCAAATGTTGAGGGGATATCTTTTCATTTAATGAAAAAGGTTTATGAAAAAGATTACCCTTAGCCAGTGGGTTAAGGGTAAAATGGCAAGCAGATTTTCAGCAGAAATATATAGAGACCTGGTTTCTACCTATTTTGTAACAGTAACCTTTTTTAAATATAGTTATGGCATATTTAAATGAGAGAACACCAAATTCCTTGTATTTTGGTGTCGGTTATTCAGGCCAAGGTCCATGTAGTATACTGTATATACTCCAACATAGTCAATTAATGTATACCCTATAAATGATTTCCAAAAGCAGCAACTAATTTTAGTGTTTGTAAAGCAATAATGTAATGTAAAACAGTAAACCTGGAGGAACATTGTCCATGGGGTCGCGATGTGTCGGACACGACTTCGCAATTAACAACAACAAAAGCAATAATCTAAATTAAAATGTAAAATGTCTAGCTTCTCAGAAAAGATAATTTATAAAAACAAATACCTGTTTCAATTAATAGATTTATTGCCCACTGGAGTGCAATTATCTATAGTCATCCCACAGTGAGATCTGTGTACAACTTCTTCAAGTAAGCAGCAGTCAACCAACTTCAGAAATAGCTTTCAGGAGGTGGTCTAGGAACCAAATGTACTTAAATTAATTTTAGCACAGGGAATTTCTAAAGTCTCCTTTAGAATTTATGCTTATTTACCCAAAGCAGATTCTCTGTGCACAGTAGGTCTTATACCTTACTGTTATTTTAGGAATGCAACTTTGCATTTTGAAAGGTTTCTTATTAAACAAGCATTTGGATGAAGTGGAAAAACAAAGTAACTGCCCATTATTTATAACATTTGGGGCTTAAAATGTTTCAAAGGGAAACAGAAAATAAATCCTTTCTTAAATGAACTGATAAAAAATTCAGTTGTAAGTACATATATAAAAATAGAAGTGGTAATCCAGTAAATTAAGTACTTTTATCCAAAGAAAGAAGTCTCCAGAGTTTCAAGTGATGAATGTTTAAATGAATCTTTTATGTTATATATTTAAGAGCTTCCAATTATTTATATCTTATTTCAAAAATCTTACATGTATTAAATTTTACTGATTACTGGAAAAAGAATCCTATTCTAAATTTATGTTTATCCTAGTTCAAACAAATATATTTCAAAGCAAAAATAAATTTGTAGACTGTGCATACAGGAATGTTGCTTCCACAACATCGTTAGACAAGTTTTGGATCTTGTTTTTAAAAACAGCAAGTATATCACTCACTAGTCCCGGTGATCTCTTGTCTCATAAACTCCAGGTAGGATTACTGCAATGCATTATTCATGAGGTTGGATCTTCAAATCATGCAGTATCTTGATAAAGTCTATTATATCAATTCTTATGGAATTACATGGCTGATATATATTAAGAACATTCAAGCATTAAGGTTGAATTTCAGCATTAAAGCTCTGAATAATTTGCTATCCAAATAAGTTAAAAAGTGCCCACCCCTCTTTTATCTTTCCTACTTATTATTTTGCAAAAATAATAATAAATAAAATATACATTTATAAATGAGAACAAGTCAGTAGGACCATACTAGAAATCAATTGTCACTGATTTATGAATTCATCAATATTAATTACCTACAACCAGTTGTATATACTTAACATTCTACGTTTTTTCCTATATGACTCCCCCACTTCATGCTTTCAGATAATTTAAAACAACTTAGTGTTTGACTCCACACATTATGCTAAGCTAATGTTTGTTTTTACCATGATTTGCTGAATCAGCCCCAATGCTAAGTCATGATACATTATGTCTTAGTATGAAATGTGATCTAAGCCTTCATTTCTTCACTTCTCCAATCTGGTAAGAAATATGCTAAACAATGCTCAGTTGGAGCATATAAAACAGTTAACAATGTTTTATTAAATATGTTCCAATATAAGATCTTGATGTGGCTGTACACTTCCTTGGTATTATACCTATACAAAGACTTCTAGAGTAAAAACCTAGAATGTCAGATGATTATTATTTAACCCACTGGCTCTCAGAACATTGCATACTATTAGAACATGTTAGCAATCTTATATCTGACACTCACTGTTAGAAATGTGTTACTTCTTTTAAAAGTAATTTTGATTCAATAATCTTGCCTTGTCTTCTCCCAAATAGTCATCTTGCCAAAGAGAACCTGAATGCATATCAGAAAGATTGTAATGTACTAATTGCATGAAGCAAGTTGCCTCTTTAGTGAGTTTTTACAGGAAATAGTGAAAGGACACTGGTTTAAACTACATTAAAAAAAGGCTTACTCACTATGAGGATTTATGTAGAGAAAATACTTTTAGAGGGTTAGAGTAGACCCAATGCATAAAACACATCTTCTATGGAAGTAGGTCTATTTCGGGGAACTTGGTGAACAACTAAGCAATAAGAAGTATCAATCCTGTACCCAGGCTTACAGCTACGGTTTAACTATCTCTTTCGCACTATAGTTCACTATTACCTTACCTTTGTCCAGTGTGCATTCTATTTTTCACATTACAGACAATTCACACAACTGCACACTAAAAGGAGCAGTGTTTTTCCTATCACCATATCCCCCTCAAAGACAAATTGGTTAAGGAATTAAAAGGGCTTTTAGCAAGTTAAATTAATGCCACAGAAAACAGGTCCTGCAAATCTTTACTGAGGATTTGTTTTTCACTGTTCAACTATTTAATTACAGTCAATGACTAGCAAGATAAAACACAGTATGTATGTATGTATGTGTGTGTGTGTGTGTGTGTGTGTATATATATATATATATATATATATATATATATATATATATATATATATATATATATAGGTCTTTGGTTGTTCGGGTTTTCTCCCGCGAAACACACACACACACAAAGCAGAAGCAGTAAACAAATCAGAAGCCTAAAAAACTTGTGATTCTTTTTTAAAAAAGGATTGAATAACCTGAAATAAATATAAAAAATAAAATAGAATGAAAATAATTTCTTCATGTTCCCACTCTTAAGATTTGAACACCTTACACCTTATAAAAATTACTGCAAATAAAAACTTAACAGCTGGTAGATTTACATGCTTTACAGTTTGCAATACAGAGTCCTCAATTTACAGCCCTTCATTTAGCAATCATTTAAAGTAATAATGACACTGAAAAAAATGACTTATGACTGGTCTTCGCACTTATGACCATTGCAGCATTCCCATGGTTACAGGAGCAAAATGTAGGTACTTGGCAACTGCATATATTTATGGCAGTAGCAGCATCCCAGGGTCATATAATTTGTGATCTTCCCAGCTATCTTTTGAACAGTGAAGTTAATGGGGGAGGTTAGATTTGCGTAAAGATTGTGTGACTCATTTAACAATTGTGGCAAAAAAAAATAAATCGTAAAATTGGGTGTGACTCACAACTGCCTTGCTTAGCAACAGAAATTCTGGTCCCAACTGTGGTTGCTAGTTGAGTGCTACCTGTATTAGATAAGAAGTACAACACAACTACAAGATGCACCCTTGTGGTCATAATTATATTTTTCCATTGTCCCTTTTATATAGTATACATGCAGGTATATCTTTACCTCCACCTAACAACCACCTTATCTGTTAGCAAGGGGAGGCAATTCAACATGTTTATTGGTCTTTTTTTTCCCCCAGAGCAATTCAAATTCCAACCCAACGTCTTAAGCCTTAAAACCAGAATGCCTCTGGAATCGTCTGCTTCTTCGGAAGCACACAGAAAGTCACAAGTGCGCTTACACCAGGAAAGCCGATGGATGGTGCTGTAGACAGACATACGCCTGCACCATCTCGACCACCTGCTCCACGACATACTGTCAAAATCGTCCGGCTTCGGGGCGGGGAGGGGGGAGAGGGGATAAGGACCATCTTCAGCAGATTTTCCCACCAAGAAAATTAACACCTGATGATCAAGATGCAAGATGGGGGGGGGCAGCCCAGCCTTACCTCCGGATCTCCCCTCCCGTCCAAACGGGGCATGCATTATTAAAGACCACAATAACCACTGACTACAGCGGGCCGCCCACCTGCCAACGCCGCTCCGCTGCCTCTCAGCCCCCGTCCTCACGTCCGCGGGTCTCAATCACCTGGGGACCCGCCTCCCCCCCCCCAATTCCACCGCAGCCCCGCATGGCTCGCCCAGCGGCGCCCGCGCCTTACCTTCGTCCTCGAGCTCCAGTTTCTCCAGCATCCCTTCGGAAGCGGCCGGGGACTGAGGTGGCCCTGCCTGCAGAAGGGCGGGGAGGGAGACACAAGAGAGAGACGGCGGGATCAGCGGCATCCAGGCGCGGAGCTCACCCGACTCGCCGCGGCATTCCCGGCAGGCGCCCACGCGAGGCGGGGTGAAGCTCGATGGACGGACGCTCCTGGAAGTGGAATGGGCAAGAGGAGGAGCCGAGGCATCGCGGAGGGAGGGAGCCGGGAGGGCTTCCCCGCCCCCCGCACCATCCCCGGGTCTTCCCGGGCCCGCTGCGTCCCCTCCTCCTCCCGCAGCATCGGAGGCGCCCTCTGCGGAGAGGCGGTTAGAGCTTAACGGATCTGGAGTGAACGTTGGCACATTTCAAATTCCATCTCGAGACACCCCCTCCTCCTCCCCCCCTTTCTTGCCCGCCCCCCCCCCGAGGGGAGCCGAGTGGAACATTCCAGCCGGGCCCCGCTTGGTTTGCACCTTGGAGGGGGGAAAGGGCAGCTACCACCCCGCGTTCAAAAAGGAGGGGAGAAGGACGCTTCCTGATGCCAGCCAGCCAGCCAGAGCCTATTTTGTCTTCGCTTCACCTCTGCTTTCAGAACCAGGCAGGAGCTTCTCCGTTTTAAAACACTTTACGGGGATGGGAGTAGAGGCCAGAGGCATCTCCCGTTCTCTTCTCTTCCCGCCTCCCCCCCATCAGCTGACGTTGGTATTGTCTATGTCCATTCACCTGCCTGGAGGGAAGAGGCTGCACGTTGTAATACTATGGAAAGGGTCACGATGGAAAAGGGCGTTAATTTTACTAGGATAACTGCATTATTTCTTGCAGGCCAAGATGTGCAAGCAGATTTAACAAATGGGTCAGTTGTCCTGACAGCATAGCAGAGGTTATGTGAGCCATTTGTACTTCCTTGCTGCTGCTCCTCACAGAAAGACATAATTTCTGTAGCACCTGTTGCTTTATAACTGCCTGAACTCCCAGGTTTAGCGATAAATCTCAATGGATGCATCCACACAACACCTGAAACCCAAACTCAACAGCCCAAGTTACAGCTTATGAACCAGGACCCCACGTATGCAGCCTTTAAATTCACCTTTAAAGCTTTCATATCTGAGCTGCAAGAATCCAGATGCCCTTAGGGTTGGCAACAAAGAATTAGATTTTTCCTTATGACTTTGATGCTAACCTGAGATCTGAATTTTTGCAAGTCAGAACTGATGCCATTCCTGCAAATAAGAGGTCTGCCTCATGCTACATTGATTAGGTTAGCTTCTTTTCTCATTTCACTGAACAGGAATAATAACAATTGATTCTTCAACATGTCCTTAACTTAAAGCATCCACATATATCAGTTTTTAACCATCCAGGCTAACAATTACTTATTTTAGTTTTTAATACCTAACCTGCTGTTTTTTCCAGACTGATGCTCCCAGGGTGATTGACAGATCATTAAAAACAATCCCTGACTTTAGATTCACCTGGTGCTCTACAACATTGGATGATTTCCAGGTATTTGTATCCACTTTTCTTTTTGCATTTTTCATATAACAAAAGATATTTGCCTTATATCTATTCTGGATTATGGCATCCATTGTTTCCTTATATTTCTCCCTGCAAAATCACTGCCAAATTCTAAGTACCTCTAATAACAATAAAGGGCTTCTTAAGGTAGGTTCTATAGCAGTTTCATTCTTAGTCATTATAATTAAGCATCTCTACAGTTCTCTTGGCAGAATTTTTTAATTTATCCTCTGTGGGCATGCGCGCCATCGCCTTAGTCCTAGGCCTTCAGCTGGGTTTTATAAAACCTTTTTGCTTTGGCCTCCGCTGCCATGTGCAAAAAAAGAAAAGATTCAATCAATCAGTCAATTTCAACTTCTCGCAGGAAAAAAAAGATCTTGCAAAGTTGGAATTGATTGATTGAACTTTTTAGTCCCATCCAGTCTGCTGTTACCACCGCAGCCACGTCCACCCAATGGGCTACCCCCCCCCCAATTGACCATACCCAGTCAATGGGCCACACCCACTCAGCACCTGATGATGCATAAGTGGGTTTTGGGTTGCAGTTTAGGCATTCAGTCTCTAAAAGGTTTGCCATCACTGTCCTATTGGGTTATCATTGCAGTTATTTCTTGGCCAGATTCCTCAATGCCTTCAACAAGGCAGAGCTTCTAAAATACTGGGAAAAAGTTCTTAAAAATTTCTGGGTGATAATCATGGGCTTGAAAATAGCTCATGTTGAACTGTACAGCAGAGTCAACCATCAGCAGCAGGCCACAGAAAATGTTTTATGACAGTTTGTACGTCATAAAAAACGTTATGATCATTTTTACGTCATAAACTGTTCAATAAAATTTATCAAATTTCAGTTCCATAGGACTCATGGGTCCTGCACTTTGGATGCATTCTATAAGGTAGCCCATTTGAAGTAACACAGTTCAAAAAATTTGGTCCTGTAATGCAAAAGTTCATCTACTTAATGATTACAGATATGAGAGTTATAGGAGTAATAGATATTTCATACAAAGCATGCTTATCCAGAATTTTAGCATCTGTAAAGAAAGAGATAATCTGTATGGTAATATGGTGTCACTGGCACTGTATCTGCCTGTTAATCTTCTGACTTAATAGGTAATACACACATAAAGGCTGGATTCAGTTATTTCACTATGCTAGCGTTTTTCAACTTTACCAAGTTTTAAGATGTGCAAAGTTCAACTCCTGGAATTCCCAGCCAGCAGAGGGTTTAAAGTTGCCAAGGTTGAAAAACATTGCACTAAGCTATTCCTTGACTAAGCCATCACCATTTAGATTTGTGCAAAGTATTCCAATGTGCGCATTTACTAAGCTAAAGCTAAGTAAACTACACTGTGGCTTATCACAATATCTGAAAATGTTTTACTTATTTTAAAAAAAATAGTGCTTAATAATTTTATATCCTAAAAGTACTAATGACTAATTCTAAAATATATTAAAATTAAAGCGCTGCTCAAAATTATTAATACTAAATATCAATAAGAAATGAATCTTATTTTAACCTGATTTCATCAGCCTGCTGACACTATATCATATAAAACTCTCTCATTTCCAGATTCTCCATAAATATTTTTCCCTATTCCGTTTTAAACTTCTTCTCCTTTATGCAGTATATGCCATTAAAATCAAGTAATTGTTGAAGAAGAATAAAAAAACCTTTATTTTCATGCCAGTACTAAGAAATTTTGATTCTAAGAAATTCAGAGTATTTGTTTTAAAGTTAAGTTTTATACAGGTAGTGCTAGACTTATGACTATTCATTTAATGAAATGAAGTTACAATGGTGCTCAAACTCAGTCCTCATACTTTAAATCTGCAGCTCCCCTGTGACCACATGATCAAAATTTAGAAGCTTGGCAACTAATATGTATTTACAAAGGTTGCAGTGTTCTGGGTCATGTGATCACCATTTATGACTTCCCCGGAGGCTTCCAATAAGCAAAGTCAATAAGAAAAGCCAGATTCGCAATGACTGTGGCAAAAAAAAAAGGTTGTAAAATCAGGTGTAACACACTTAATGACTACACCACTTAGTGATGGAAGCTCTAGTCCCAATTGTAGTCATAAATCAAATACTACCTATATGTTGTCATGCATTTGACAGTTTTCCATTATTAAAATATCTCCCTCTTATTTGATTAATATGCAGAAGAGTTTGTCTGATTCTATTTTCCTGTCATTGTTTCCCTTGTTCTTGCTTATTATGTTTTTCCATCATGTATGTATGTATGTATGTATGTATGTATGTATGTATGTGTCTGTCTACCTACCTATCATCTCTTGTCTTGAACTCTTTGAAAATGCAATCCTAAAAGGATTCCCATTAAAATAGGTTGATGTGATGGCACTATGGGCATGTGAGCGAATCAACACCAAAAGAGACATTCAATTGCACAGATCATGGCCACTGTCTTTAGTTCGCAGAAAATCACAGCTGCAAATAAATCCAGATGATCAGAGCTGCAAACTAATCACAATGAAAAACTGCTCAGCCAATGGCAATCTTTATTTAAGCATCAGCAATAGTCCACTCAGTAATATTTATTTTGAAGTAATCTGTCTTCCTCTTGATACTTGTTATTTTAGTTCCATTATCCCTGCCAGCATTGAATTATCAGAGTTATAATTTTAACTCTTATAATCTAAAACATCTGGAGTATATTAGGCTGCATAGCCCTTCTAGTACTTTGATTCATGAAATATGGAAAAAAACAGGATTTTTTCCTGGCCATAACAAAATGTCTTTAAACATACAAGAAATAAGTTGATTGCCTGGTCAATATTTTTTTTCAAGAATGGAAGGGAAACTTATTTCTGTGCACTTGTTATTTTGTAGTTTCTTCATGCAAATAACTAATAATCACTTTATGTAACTCCCATAAACGATAAACCTGGCTTGTCAATAATGGCTTTGCAATAATAAAAACTAACCCTGGATAAAGTGGGCTCTATTGCTAAGGTGACTGTCCAGTTATACCTGGCTAATTTGTTCATTTTTAACAACTTTAATTCACCGTGATTATATTATTTAAACCAGATTCTTTTTAATTTTTCCTTACTGTTAGATTGAGTTAACATTAAAGCCTCTAATCATCATCAGTGGCAATATCTGTATACCCAAAATCTGTTTCCTCTTTATTCCTGTGCTGTGGCAACTGACACTATGGCAGTTTACTAACCTCCTTGAATGCAGAACATAATGCTTTCAAATCACCATGTAAAGAATACAAATCTTGAAGGAGGTCCTACCCATGAGATTTAAACTGCTTTAACTCAACCAGTCTCCAATTAAGAAACACACCAAAATCTTAATTAAATTTACTTCTCAGAACTTAAGCACAGCTGTTCAGATGCAAGCTTGCAATTCTGAAAGTTTGCATGAGTAGAGGAAGAAACTTAAAAGAGTTCTTTGGCCAATTTGACCATTTTTATTTATAGGCACCAATTTTCAAATAATTGCAATTGTTTGTCCTTCCTATATAAGGCAAGGTGGGGACTTCTA